TGTGTGTGTGTTTTGTGGTGTGTGTGGTGTGGTGTGTGTGTGTGTGTGTGTGTGTGTGTGTGTGTGTGTGTGTGTGTGTGTGTGTGTGATGAGAGAGAGAGAGAGAGAAAGAAACAAAAAAGAGAAAAAGAGAGAGAAAATGAAAAAATGAGAGAGAGAAAGAGAGAAAGAGAGAATGAGAGAAAGAGAAGAAAGAGAGAAAGAAAAGAGAAAGAGAGAATGAGAGAAAGAGAGAAAGAAAGAGAGAAAGAGAGAAATGAGAGAGAGAGAGAGAGAAAGAGAGAATGAGAGAGAAAGAGAGAAAGAGAGAAAGAGAGAGAGAGAGAAAGAGAGAAAGAGAGAAAGAGAGAAGAGAAAAGAGAGAAAGAAGGGAAGAGAGAAAGAGAGAAAAGAGAAAGAGAGAAAGAGAGAAAAGAAAGAGGAAAGAGAAGAGAGAGAGAGAGAGAGAGAGAGAGAGAGAAGAGAGAAAGAGAGAAAGAGAGAAAGAGAGAAGAGAGAAGAGAAAAGAGAGAAAGAGGAAGAGAGAAGAGAGAAAGAGAGAAGAGAGAAAGAGAGAAAGAGAGAAGAGAGAGAAGAGAGAGAGAGAGAGAAGAGAGAGAGAGAGAGAGAGAGAGAGAGAGAGAGAGAGACTGATGAACTCATTCCACCTCTAAATCAACAGGATAGGACCACCTCTACTAGTAGCCAAGAGAAGGCGGGCCTCTTTGCTGCACACTTTGCTACCAAAATGCAAGTTCCTGATCCAGCAAGGGACCTTCCTTGGCTAGCTGCAAGAACTGTGTCAAAACTGTCAGTGGTGACAATAAGGCAGGAGAAGGTGCATTTCCTTCTTAAATCGCTTGACCAAGAAAAGGCTGTGGGCCCAGACAAGTTGAGCCCAAGATTGCTGAGATGTGCAGACCAGCTAGCAGCACCTCTAACTCGCATCTTTCAGCACTGCCTAGTACAGTGTAAATGGCCCTCTCTATGGAAAGAGGCAAATGTAGTCCCTGTTCACAAAAAGAAGAGCAGAGCAGAAATCAGCAACTACAGACCAATGTCACTCCTGTCAATCACTGGTAAGATCCTTGAGACAATAATCTCAAGACAAATGACAGAGTTTTTTGACTATCACTCACTACTTTGTGGTCATCAATATGGCTTCAGGAAAGGTTACTCTGCTGCTGATCTGTTGTTAAACCTAAGTGGCACCAGTCACTGGATGAATCCAAAGTCAGCTGTGTGGTAGCACTGGACATTGCTGGTGCTTTTGACCGGGTGTGGCACCAGGGCCTCTTAGCAAAACTTCAAGCACTGGGAATTGCAGGCTCTACGCTATGTCTCCTCAGTGATTACCTTCATGGTAGATCTCTAAGTGTAGTTCTCAATGGAACGGAATCAGCAAGACATCCTATTGGGGCATGTGTTCCACAAGGAAGCGTGCTGGGACCATTGTTATGGAATGTCTACTTCAATGACCTTCATCTCATCCCAGAATCCCATGCATATACAGATGGCTGTACACTGACATTCACTCATCCAAGAGAAGAAATGCCATCTGATCTAAGCTACATCAATCACCAGCTAAGAGCTATATCAGCTTGGGGAAATAGATGGCGAGTAACATTTGCACCTGAGAAAACGCAAATGATGATCATCTCTAGGCACCATGATGGTAATGCTGGTGCAATAGTAAGGATGAATGGGAGGGTGTTGGCACCTGGAGAAGAAGTTGATATCCTTGGGGTGAATTCTGATTCCAAACGAACCATGAAGAACCATGTTGTAAATCTTGCAAACAAGGCAGCCAGGAAGCTTACAGCACTTTGCCGTATCTCGCATCTGCTTGACGGTAGGGGTTGCAAGATTCTGTACGAGGCACAAGTATGCTCACACCTTGAGTATGCTCCACTTTCTTGGTTTGCCTGCCCCCCCCTCCCCCCTCATCTGTGACTGCTTGACAGAGTAGAGAACAAAGCAAGACGTCTCGTCTCTCGCCTGAACCCATCCCGGATAGATCTGTCATTTCAGCAGAGCCTTCAACACGGGAGGGATGTTGGTGGCCTTACTGTTATGTACAAGGCAAATATTGTCAAAGTACCACACTTGGATCCACTTCGAGGATAGCGTGAAACAAGCTTTTATGCCACAAGACGGGCAGAAAGCAGCAACTTCACTCTGGTTGTACCCTTCTCCAGAACATCACTCCATCTGAGATCATATATACCCAGGATGATTTGAGTATGGAACACATTCGTACAGCATAATGATGTCAACGAGGTAAAGTCAGTTGATCAAATGAAAATGCTGGCCCACAGATGGCTCCAACTTCATCCTGTTCCCTACTTGTATGTCTCATAACAATAAAAATGCTTTCAAATGAGCTGATGTAGGTAACAGCTCTTTGCTTGCCAATAAAGTTAGGAATCCTTAACCTGTAAATAGCTTGTCAATAAAGCTAGGGATCCTTAACCTTGTCAAACCATGTTAAAAAAAAGAGAGAGAGAATGAGAGAAAGAGAATGAAAGAGAGAATGAGAGAATGATAGAATGAGAGAGAATGATAGAATGAGAGAGAATGATAGAATGAGAGAGAATGAGAATGAGAGAGAGAGAGAGAGAATGGTGTAATGCTGAAAGCTTCCTAATCCCGTTTATTTACCATTCAGTATTCACTGTATTTAGAGAGGATGCACTGAACAGCATTAGGCACTTTTTGTTAACAGTATATAACTGTCTACTAACATACTTAGTGTACCAATACTTCTTACTGGAGCTATCTGTATATTTTTACATTGCCTCTTGTTCTTGTAGGGAATTATTTCAACAGATAGATTTAGAGGCAGCCCGTCCAGTATTTCTCTGATATAGATTAGCATTCAGAATGATATACAGTATTTTTCTCACGTATGAACAGAGTAAACATTTTCAATGTAGTTTCTATGGCCAGTATTTGTAATTCTTCCAGATTTAAATTTTTAGAAATGAGCTTAACTTCTGTATTTTCTTAGAAAAGAAAATGCACACTCCTAGAATTTATATTTAGAAAATATATCTTAACTCCAAATTTTCTGAAGAGCAAAAATTCTGAATCTCAATTTGGAATAACTCTAATCTTGAATTTGTGTTCAAAATGAGAAAAGTATTTCTAATTTCTATTATTTGTCTGGCCATATTGCTTTTTTCATGTCAATATCCAGTTAGCATCTTTACTTCCTTTTTGAATATTTCAGTGTCCTCCATTTCAACTGGCTGTTTGGTGATTCAAGTCCACTACATCTAAAGTGCAGGTAACCTGTATCTCAATGGTCAAATGCTCAGCTCACAATCAAGGGTGCCCAAGTTTGATTCCCTAGGGCAAGAAATCCCATCATTCTATTACTCTATGAAGAATTTATGATTAAGGCCTCTGCTGGTGTAAAACAAACTGCCCAGTAAATTTATTCATATAGTGTAATTTTGTAATATTTCATATAGTTATAATGTCTTTTCCTTTCTTGTTTAGCAAATGAGAGCATATCTGATGCTTCCAACTATTTATTCAATCTATATTTTTTACCTCTGGAGCCATTCTATAGCTCATTCTTAGACATTTTCTAGTTTGTCCACAAGTTTTTATTTAACATAAGATGTGAACAGCAATTTTATCATCTCTTAGTCCATATATAAATTTGCCAGTGTAGCATAAAAGGTTCCAATGACTTTATTAATACGACCTTCCTGTGATAATCTTTTGTTGATGACAAGTGATACATTCCTTTCCTTGACTGGTGCTTTTGTTCTTTTATCTTCACATGGCCTGACTGTGCATTTTGCCATTCCATTAAATAGCACTAATCCACATCAGATTCCATCATCCATGTGCACTTTGCAGGTGCATGTGGATGCATCTATGGACCTCTTGAACAGAGAATGTAGCTATGTTATTCAAAAGAAAAATAATGAATACTAAGTAACGGATGTAGAAATTGAAAAAACAAAAGATTTTAGGATATGTATAAATTCTGAAGTTTATTAGCACTCCTAACCTCATGCTAATGACAGCAGGAATTCCAAATGTATCTGAAGAGCTATTCTATTTCATGACACTGCAGACAAGAGCTACCACAAATGAAATGAAATGGAACAAAAACAACTGAACAGAAAAGTGGAAAAGTGTCTACATACCCTTTGATAATGATGTAGAAAGATCTCAGAAATCTCCCCAAGGACTGAAGCCTAGATGTAACAGACCAACCACATCCAAGAAAAGAATCCCTATAATGTGTGATGTGCAATAATTATGAATATTCTGCAATTTGTTTTAAGAGTAATTTTTCACCTTGATTAATATTTAATACTTATTTATATCACACAAATGTTCAATAGCAATGAACAATAACAAATAACTCATCTAATGGAAATCAAATTAGGCAATTTTATTTTCCATGATGAGAAAACAATTCATTTTACTACACAATCCCATGTGCATCCATATTTATGAGGTTAACACTAACAATTTTCAAGATATTGACTATAAGCTTTCTTGTAGTTACCATGGGATTTTTATGATAAAATCTTATGTAAACTACAGAATAAATCAATCACTAAGTTGTAGAGAGGTAAGCTGCAGACTACTAAATATTCCCTTTAAGCCACAGCTGGCATGCTGTGCATAACTATTAGCTTGAAGTGGACACTTACACTGTCCGTTGTTCTGCCAGATAACTGCTGCTGAGGCTGGCTCATATTATTCTGGTATTTTGGTGTTACAACTCCACCCATATATGGTGCTACACCACTCATCACTGCTGCTGAGAAATTGGGAGGGAAGAATACTGGGGTAGCTTGGTGTTCTAGGGCTGAAGGCTGAGGGTTGCATACCAAGGTAGGATGTTGGTAATATGAATTACTGAAGGGTAGGGGCTGCATCAAAGGGGATACAAACTGAGACTCAAATTGTTTAACAAGGGTAGTTGCTGAATACATCATGTTAGATTGATGGGGAAGACCAGTATGTGATGGCAGCATATGGAACAGCACCTGGTTTGCATCACTGGCTACTGTAGATGATGACAGCGATGCTCCAAGTGGTGGTACTGATGATACAACCCCAGGAAGAGATGGCACCACTGACGGCTGACACTGCAGTGCTGCAGGCTGAGATGCTACTCCTTCTGACTGGGAAGGCAGACCTCCATCTTGTAATGCTGAGGGTCCCTGCTGTGACATTGTTACAGTTGGCTGAGCTGATGTAACCTGTTGGGAGGCTACAGATGGCTGACTGGTTGAAACTGATAATAAATGAGATTGTATTACACCAGGGTGTGAGGTTGTAGTACTTGGTAGAATTGAAGAAACAGATTCAGGAACAGATGTTGAGGCTCCAGGTGGCTGCATGAAAATGGTTGATAATTGAGATGGCACAAGGGTTGGCACCACAACTGACTGTGGAGTTACAGTTTGCACCAACTCAGATGAGCTACCCTGTAGTGCCATAACATTTGGCATACTCACACTAGAGAGAGCTAGTGACTCTGCTTGACTTACTCCTCCATGTGACTGTGATGTTGCAAGTGGTTGTGAGGCTATCACTGCCTGTGAAGATTCCTCGGGATGGGATGTCAACACTGATTGAGAAGCCATTACTGCTTGTACAGAACACACTGATTGAGAGGCAACTCCTGGTTGAGAAGAAATCCCTGCCTGTGATGCATCCAATGGCTGTGAAGCAACCACAGGCTGTGAGTGAACTACTGGCTGTGGCATAATCACTGGGTGTGTACCAACCATGGATTGTGACGTGTCTGCTATAAGTGGACCAATAATTGGCTGTGATACTAGCACTGGTTGTGAAGCTATCACTGGTTGTGTTGCTACCCCTGGTTGAGAAGCTGTAATTGACTGTGGTACTGGCAGTGGTTGTGATGCTACCACTGATTGTGGTGCCATTCTTAGATGAGGCATAATCCCTGATGTCTCTGACACCACAGGTGCTTGTGATATATTTCCTACTGATTGAGGAAGTACTGTTTGAGAATGAGGAGGCAATACAGATGCCTGGGAGAAAACCTGTGGCAGTGATGAGAGGATATTTGGCTGTGAGGGTATCATGGATGCTTGTGACAAAAGGGATGCAGGTTGAGTTGGAAGTACAAGAGGCTGAGAGGATAAAGGAGGCTGTGGCGTTATTCCAGAGAGCTGGGACATCACTGATACCACAGGCTGACTTATGTGTTGAGACATTGCCACTGAGGATATAGAAGGCACCACCATGGGAACCGAGGCCATTACTAAAGGATGACTTAGACCTGCCATTGGCTGAGAAGCCATAACTAATGAGGATGCACCAACAATTACTCCTTGTGAAGAAAGCACCTGGGGTTGTGCCATCCCCATATGGTGCTGTGATGAAATTGCTGAAGTTCCACTCCCTACTGGAACCTGTGAATTAATATGACTATAATATTCTGACTGATGTTGCTGCTGCTGATGTGGTTGCTGCTGTTGCTGTTGTTGATCTACCTGCTGTTGTGAAGTTTGGTGAGATGGTTGCTGAGTAGGCTGTTGGGATGACTGCTGTTGGCTTGTCTGCTGTGGAACTGTTTGATAAACTGAAGTGGGCAAGTAGCTCTGGGAGACCGAAGCAATTCCAGTGGTAAGAGTCTGCTGGTATTGAGGTTGTTGGTAACTAGAACTTACTGGTTGGAATTGTGAGGAGCTACCAGGATAGCTGCCAAACCCAAAGTTGCCACCAAAGTATTGACCATCCTGAAACAAAAACACACAAGATAAAGCAACAGTTCAGTTTTGCAATATATATCAAGGAATATCTGGTAGCAGATACTAAACACAACTTTTACAAGGCTTTGGGGCACTTTTTGTACCTATAGGCATACTAGACAATGCAAGCCTAGGCCAGTAGGCCTGCTGTGGTTCTCCTTTATTTTTAAGAATAAATTTAAACTTTCGGTAGTCACCTCACTTAGGAACCTTTAAAATGGGCTTTCTTTGATTCTTCTTTCTAACTCATCCAAAGATGTGCATGTGTGTAAGAACACATAAAACTGCTCAGGTACCTCTGTTCATTATTTTTCATTGTGGTATTTTTCACATACACAAATACATACACACATAAGGAAAACCCTGAGTGATGTGCAGTGAAAAAGGGAACTAGAAGGAAAACCAACGGATGAAATGAAGGCACATGTAGCTGGAAATATAAATTTTTAACCTTTGACAAAAATATTATGTGAGATAACTTTTTTCACAATGAGTTTTAAACATTCTAGTGTATGTAGATTTTTCTCTCACTACTGAAAAAAAAAACACACACAGGAGATTTTTTCTTATTTTTAAACATTAAATTACAAAATACCTGGAGGCAGATGAGAATTTCATACATAGGAGCAGAAGCAATGTCATGAACAGAGTCCATAATTCACCCACAGGTACAAAGAGGTAAAAGCTGAAAGTGCAAAAGCATGGAAAAATAAAGAGTGCAAAATAAATGCAGAGAAACAAGGAAGCATGTAGAAGAGCCAGAAAGACATACACATGGGCAAGAAAAGAGGCTGAACAACAACTTGCAAATGGCACTGCATCGATAGCAAAATTTAAACCCGAGTTGTTATACAGCCACATCTTAAAGACAACAGTAAAGGACTGGGTAATAAGGCTGAAGAAATGACCAGGAAGTCTGCAAGTTGAGCAAAAGATTTAAGGAGGTATTCATGAAGGAAACAGGTACATGTACATTACTAGAGTCAAACAGGAAGAGTGCACCATTGAGTATTGGACACAATACACAAAACAGGAGAAAAGGTTAGGAAACTACCGAGCAAGCTAGATATCTCGAAGGCAATGGGACCAGATATCTCTAAGGGTTTTAAGTGAGAGAAGAGCAGAAGCCCTGCATAAACCACTAGCCACAAACTATAACATGTCAAATGATACAATGGCAATTGCCAAAGATGTAGAAGACTGCAAAAGTAGTCTCAATATTTAAAAAGGGGGTATACAGACAGGAAGCATTTAACTAAAGGCCAGTGTCACTGATATGCAAAGTAAGGCTATAGAGAAGATAATCGGAAGAGTGGTGCATCACCTAAAAGGATGCTGACTCATGAACAACACAGCACAGTTTTAGACATAATAAATCCTGTATCACAAACCTGCTTGAGTTCTATAGCAAAGCAACATAAGTGATGAAAAAGAGAGAGGGGGGTATGGGTGGGCTGTAAGAAGGCTTGTGATACAGTACTACACAAGAGAATGGGAAATAAAATTTAGAGGAGCAGGCAGGAATAAGAGGGAAAGCACTACAATGGATTGAGAAAAAAGTGTCAGAATTGGAAAGTGTGATGAGTGGGGTTCTTCAAAGGTCAGTACTGGGACTGATACTATTTCCTGTGCGGGCGAATGACAGTGGAGGAAATAGAGTTAGAAGTATCCCTATTTGCAGAAGATGCAAAATTTAGGAGAATACAAACAGGAGAAAACCAGGATAAACAACAAACAGACATAGACAAGTTGCAGAATTGGAATGACAAGTGGCTATTACAATTTAACCCCAGCAAATGCAAAGTTATGAAAACTGGAAAGAGTACGGACTAGGAGAATAAAGGCTGCAAACCTCACTGAAGCTGAACACTGGGGTGAGGTAATATTGAGCATATTTCCCAAGACTTGCTTCAAGTGAATAACTTCCACAGCATCAGGCTAATCTAAAATTAGCTTCCAGGAAACTCAGCAAGGAGCCATTACTGACACTATATACAGTATGTATATCAGGTCCATCTTGGAGTATGCAGCCCAGTATGGAACCCACACCTGATCAAGTATGTCAAGAACTAAAAAAAAGTGCAGAGGCTTACAATAAGACAAGTCCTGGAGCTCAGGGGTATGAGCTATGAGGAGAAACTGGAGGAACTACATCTGATGACATCAGATTATAAAAAGACTAGGGGTGACATGATAACAACATACAAAATCCTGAAATTAAACAATAGGTTGGACAAGGCTAGACAACTTGAGAGGCAGGAAACAGGATCACAAGAGCACAGTTGAAAGACGAAAATGGTCACAGATATTTTTTTAAACACACAGGCCATCTTCCACCGAGGCAGTGTGACCCAAAAGAAATGATTTCACCATCATTCACACTATCACTGTCTTGCCAGAGGTGCACAAATATGATAGCTCAGATGACCCTCCAGATAGCAAATACTCCCACCTCTTCTCCCACCTCCAGGACTCAAGTCCAACTAACCAGTTTTCCTGAATCCCTTCACAAAATATTACCCTGCTCACACTCCAACAGCTCGTCAAGTCCCAAAAACCATTTGCCGCCACTCACTCCTACCTAACACTCTCACACATGCCTGTTGGATGTCCAAGCCCTTTGAACACAAAACCTGTACCCCCTCTCTCCATCCTTTCCTAGGACAACACCTACACTGCCTTCCCTTCACTACAGATTTATACACCTTCCAAGTCATCCTATTTTGCTCCATCCTCAGGACAGGAAAGTGACAGTGGCAGGATCCACACACAGCTTTAGGAATAGGCAGCGTGTGTCTTTTCTTGACAAGTGCCTAAGTACACATAAGACTGCACTGTAATAAGACTTTCATATTAGCTGATCTAAATAGAAATACAATATACAAAATTACAACTGTGTACAATGCATTACTATGATTATTTCAAAATATATTACCAAAATATATTATAGTCGTCTATTAAGATTCTCTAGATTTTTATTATAAATATTAACGTAATTACCAATAACTGAAAGTATAAATACAGTAATAAAAAATTCAGTTATTTAGAATACTTAAACTACATATGTGAATGATAATATAAACTATATAAAATACTAATTTGCAGTATTTTAAGGTGGCTTCATTTTTTTTGAGCTTTGCTTTTTTTGCATCTAGAATCTTCATTTTTCATTTTTTATACACTTATTCTTTTATACAGCCTAATACCAGGTTAGTTAAAATATTATTAGTATTTCTTTCCCCTTCTACACTGTTCTGCACATGTTTGTATTATATGTATAACTAAAATGTTTATATAATCTTATATGCTCTGATCTTTTAACCCTTTGAGGGTCGACAGGCCCTCTCCAAGACTCGTTCTCAGGGTCAGCCAAATTTAAAAAAAAAAAAAAAATTCTTATGAAAAGATAGAGAATCTTTTCCCGATCATAATGACACCAAAAGTAAGAAATTTGATGGAAAACTTACGGAATTATGCTCTCGCAAAGATAGTGGTCTCGGCGATGTTTACGCATCGGCGATTTTGACCACTTTGAGCCCCATTTTCGGCCAATTCCACTGTACTAGTCGACAAAAAAAAAGAATATTTCGCTAGAACTCCATTTTTTTCTATCGAATGAGTGCAAGAAACCACCCATTTACCAATTTCAACTATCCAGTACAGTGGTCAGAATTTAGCAATTTTGCCAATTTAACACAAATTTCAAAAGATGCCAATTTCCAAATAGGGCCCAGAATAAACAAGAAAGACATTCCAGGCACTAAAATGACATTTCCTCTGTTCATTAGTCACATCTCAAGGCCTCTCTTACATTCTTTTGCTTTCCACTTTTAATTTTTATTCTCACAAAAAATAGAAGATTTGCTGTTATGCAGACTACTTCATTAGTGTAAAAAATGGTATAAATAATATTGGCGCACTTGCAAAAAAATATTAGACTCACCAGTTGACGTGTATTGGACGCTTGGCATGATTTGTTTACTTTTGAACTTTGGTAAAAATCGAACATTTCTGCTACTTTGAGCTCAATTTCAAGGTACTTTTCATTGTAAAACCAGTCAAAATCGTCTCAATTTCTGTAATATGTCTTCCATTCTATAAAACGAGACCAAGAAAACTAAAATACAACAATAAATACCATACAAAAATACAGTGCAAAGTCGCTGTTTTATTCCAAAAAAAATGGTCAGTTTTTTTATTCTCACTATGCACTGTGTGCTGCAGGATTTTTTTTATACTGTGCACACTGACCACATAGACCCATTCTTTCATATGTAGGCCTACCAGCTTTCTCTCACTAGATTTGAGGGTGCTAGAATTTAGGCATACTAGTACGTCAAAACCCCTGGGTCGTAAGCCGTACTAGTACGGCCGAAACCCCCAAAGGGTTAACTTCCTATACATCTACATACATTTATATCACTCAACAAAATAATTCAAGATATTAACCTTTTCACTGTCGGTGTCATATTAGTACGGCTTACAGGCCAGTGTTGGTGCCATATTAATACGCTAAAATTCTAGTGGCTTCAAATCTAGCGGGAGAAAGCTGGTAGATGTACATGTGAGAGAATGGGTTTGCATGGTCAGTGTGCACAGTATAAAAAAATGTCTTGCAGCATGCAGTGCATGAGAAAAAAAACTCCAACCGTGTTTTTGGTTTAAAACGCCAATGTTGGGGTGTATTTTCGTATGGTGTTTATGGTTGTATTTTCGTTTTCTTGGTCTCATGTAATAGAATGGAAGATATATTACAGAAATAAAGATGATTGTGATTGGTTTCACAATGAAAAGTACCTTGAAATTGAGCTCAAATTAGCCAAAATGTTCGATTTTTGTCAATGTTCAAGAGTAAATAAATGACGTCACTGTCCAATACCTGTCCAACTGGCCAGTCTAACATGCAGCCATGAATGGGTTAATATTATTTATATTATTTATTCCCCTCTTTGGAGGCAAAGAGGGGAATGTATGAGAGTATAGTTTTACCAACGCTCTTATATGGGTGTGAAGCATGGGTGATGAATGTTGAAGCGAGGAGAAGGCTGGAGGCAGTGGAGATGTCATGTCTGAGAGCAATGTGTGGTGTGAATATAATGCAGAGAATTCGTAGTTTGGAAGTTAGGAGGAGGTGCGGGATTACCAAAACTGTTGTCCAGAGGGCTGAGGAAGGGTTGTTGAGGTGGTTCGGACATGTGGAGAGAATGGAGCGAAATAGAATAACTTCAAGAGTGTATCAGTCTGTAGTGGAAGGAAGGCGGGGTAGGGGTCGGCCTAGGAAAGGTTGGAGGGAGGGGGTAAAGGAGGTTTTGTGTGCGAGGGGCTTGGACTTCCAGCAGGCATGCTTGAGCGTGTTTGATAGGAGTGAATGGAGACAAATGGTTTTTAATACTTGATGTGCTGTTGGAGTGTGAGCAAAGTAACATTTATGAAGGGGTTCAGGGAAACCGGCAGGCCGGACTTGAGTCCTGGAGATGGGAAGTACAGTGCCTGCACTCTGAAGGAGGGGTGTTAATGTTGCAGTTTAAAAACTGTAGTGTAAAGCACCCTTCTGGCAAGACAGTGATGGAGTGAATGATGGTGAAAGTTTTTCTTTTTCGGGCCACCCTGCCTTGGTGGGAATCGGCCAGTGTGATAATAAAAAAAAAAAATATTACAATAATGCAGTAGTCTGCATAACAGTAAATCTTATATTTTTTGTGAGAATAAAAATTCAAAATGGAAAGCAAGAGTAATATATGAGGGGCCTGGAGACATGACTAATGAACAGAGAAAATGTTATTTTAGTGCCAGGAATGTCTGCATTGTTTATTCTGAACCCTATTTTGAAATTGGCACCTTTTGAAATTTGTGTGAAATTGGCCAAATTGCCAGTTTCTGACCACTGTATTGGGTAGTTGAAATCGGTAAATGGGCGGTTTCTTGTACTCATATCGATAGAACAAATGGAGTTCTAGCGAAATAGCTATGAGTTTGGTCGACTAGAACAATGGAACTGGGCAAAAATAGGGCTCAAATTGTGCAAAATCGCCGATGCGTATATACAGTGGACCCCCGCTTAACGATCACCTCCCAATGAGACCAATTATGTAAGTGTATTTATGTAAGTGCATTTGTACGTGTATGTTTGGGGGTCTGAAATGGACTCATCTACTTTACAATATTCCTTATGAGAACAAATTCGGTCAGTATTGGCACCTGAACATACTTCTGGAATGAAAAAATATTGTTAACCGGGGGTCCACTGTATTACCAAGACTGCTAACTTCGCGAGAGCATAATTCCTTAAGTTTTTCATCAAATTTCGTACTTTTGGCGTCATTACCATTGGAAAGCGATTCTCTATCGTTTCATATGAAATTTTTTTTTTAAATTCTTTGACACTGAGAGCAAGTTTGTTAGCAGGGGTCTCGACAATGAAAGGGTTAAGTTCATATATTCACATTAGTTTGTATTTCATGTTAAATTGCTATTAATATATTTACTGGTACAAGAAACCCTTGATATATTAAAATGGGGATTGTCTGAAAGTTCTTGAACCCTTTTGGAGTGGGTCCCGTTGTACTACAGTTCTGACGCCTGGATCGGTCCCATTGTTCTATGTGATGAGCTCAGCTCTATCTCAGACAGGCTGTGAGCAGTAAGTTTGGGCCTAGATATGAGAAAATGGGCCTATGCGGTACGAACCATGTAAAAAATCCTTCAGCACACAGTGCATAATGAGAAAAAAATACTGTGTTTTTTGTGGTGTTTTTTGTATGTTTTTTATGGTTAGATTTTCAGTTTCTTGGTCTCACTTGATAGAATGAAAGCTATATTACAGAAAAAGTTATGATTTTGATTGGTTTCAGAACTGAAAGTAGCTTGAAATTAAGCTCCAATTAGCGGATATGTTCGATTTTTGCCAACATTCCGAAGTTTACAAATGAAGTCATTCGTCAAATACATGTTCAACTAGCCCGTCTAATACATGTTTAGGAATGCACTGACATTATTATGCAATTATTGCAATAATGCAGTGGTCTGCATAACAGTACAATCTTCCATTTTTGGTGTGAATAAAAATTCAAAATGAAAAGCATGCGTAATATAGGAGAAGCCCTGGGATGGGACCAAACTAATGAATAGAGGAAATTTTTTTTTAGTGCCAGAAATGTCTACATTGTTTATTCTGGACCCTATTTTTAAACTGGCAATTTTTGAATTTTGTGTGAAATTGGCCAAATTACCAATTTCTGATCACTCTATTGGGTAGTCAAAAAAGTTAAGTGGGAGATTTCTTGTATTCATTTGTTAGAATAGTAAAATAGCCATGAGATTGGTTGACTGGAACAATAGAATTGGCCAAAAAAAATAGGGCTCAAAGTGGGCAAAGTCACTGATGTGTCAATATCGCAGAGACCGCTAACTTCGCGAGGTAATAATTTCTGAAAATTCTCTGAACCTGAGAGTAAGTTTCAAGTCAGAGATTCTGACCCTGAAAGGATTAAATCAGGACAATGTTAAAAAAAAAAAAAAAATTGAGTACTCTACTGTATACTTTTATATAGTACAGAGGGAACACAATTTACACATATACAGCAATAGACATTGAAAATAAAAGAATCTGAAGTACAATTTACTTAGTAGTACTTCCCCATTATTTCAAAAGTCCATTATGTTGAGGGTATACCTTCTATCAATACTGTAATAAAAATGCAAACTGTATTGCAGATAATCCCATAATTTTCTGGCAGAAATATCATGGAGTGTATTTTGCAACCCACCTGTGTGAATGCCTGCTGACTGTCGCTTCCTGAGGTCAACGTGTAGTAACCAGATTCTCGTACACCATCTGCTAAAATATAACTATATGTAGGTAAAGCTAAAACACATCAAAATCAATCTCCATAATTCTTTATTTTTACATCATATGTAATCTGGCAAATTTAATCAGCCAAAACCAATAATACATACTGTAATATGCTGATACACACTGCAACGTGCTTTTATGTGTATGATACTAAGATGAAAAAATAAGATGAGAATTCCCTTTCAATAATATTTAAAAATGCATCAATAAACTAACTCTTAGAATTTTTAGACATAAATGTACTTAAGATCTAATGCAAAAAAAAAAAATATATATATATAAAAACCATAATAAAACACAAATACCTTGCTGATCTGGAGGAATTACCTCCCCCACTAGTTGTGGTTGAGCATCTTGCTGAGCAACTTGCTGTTGTTGTTGCTGCTGCTGCTGCTGCTGCTGCTGCTGCTGTTGTTGTTGCTGCTGTTGCTGCTGCTGTTGCACCTGCTGTTGTTGCTGTGGAGTTGGCTGCTGTGACTGTTGCTGCTGAGTTGGCTGAGGAAGTGGAAGTTGCTGGTCAGGCTGACTTTGTTGTACTTGTGGTGCCTGCTGTTGCACAGTAGGCTGCTGCTGGACCGAAGTCTGTGTTTGTAATGTTGGCTGCTGTGATGGCTGAAGTTGTTGTTGCAGCTGTAGTTGTTGCTGCTGCTGTAACTGCTGTTGAATTTGGTTCTGTTCTTCTAATTGATGTTTTTCTTTTTCCATAGCATCTTTCTTTCTTCTTTCTTCGCGTTCCCGCTGAAGATTGTGTATTTGTGTATTAATCATCTTAGCCACTGACCGTTCATCCTCCTCAAGGATCATTCCCATTTTCACCTGAAAATATAATAATTATTGAAAATAATATGCTCTAAACTGGGACAAACACACTTTCAGAAACACTGGAAATAAGACAGATATTGTGATTTAAGAATATTCTGCATAGAAAATATGAGAAGAATCATAAATGAACCCCCCGCCACACACACACAGTGTAAAAAAAAAAAAAAAAAGATGAATTTAACTACTAACCATTCCTTCTGCAATCATATCTGGATTGTCATTCTCTGTGTCAAAATCAAACTGGATTGCTTCATTTTCTTTGTGCTTATCTTTTCTTTTTTTGGCATCAATGACTCGCAGCCTGTTAAAAGAAAATACCACCAACTACAACACTGGTATCAACATTACACTAACATTATTAATTAAAATTAATACAATATTTTTTTATTGGAAACATGTTTTTAACTTTTCACTTGGTAAACAAAAAATATAATTATTATTTCTGCTAACCTCAATACAACTTTTCCTACATCAGAGGCTATAGCTTCTTCTTTATTTCCAAGGTCCACTTTGATGCCAGTATCTTCTTGGAAGAACTCATGGTTCAAAAGATCTTTTACAGTTGGTCTGTAATGGTGAAACAATACTTTAATACAGTAATAATATTAACATTTATTGCAGCCTTTAAATTTATTCCTATTTTTGATGAAATGTAATTAATATTTACTGTAGTCTTTAAATTTATTCATAATTTTGATGAAATATAATAATGCTGAATTAGCATAAAATGCATGCATCACATATATGTAAAAAAAAAAAAAAAATGTTTATGACTATCAATATTTTATGGGTCAATAACATGCATTCAAAATAGTTACATACAAGAACTGTATATTGTAAAATACACAATTTTCATAGTTATATTCATTATTTGAGACTTAAATTGCCCTCCAATAAGGTCATTAAATTCTTAGAATGAATATCTGACCACTTTTCCATGCAAAACCTTTCCAGCTCCTTCATTTTAAATGGCTCATAAGTGTGGTGACCACTCCAGTTCCTCCAGGTTGCAATATCTGAGAGTGTGATGACCACTGCATCCAGAGCCTTTCTAGCTCTTTTAGGTTGTAGGGATTGTCAGTGGTGTTGCTAGGGTTGGTGTCACCCGGGGCAGCACCTTTGATGTCACCCCCATGAAATCCAAGGGCAGGGAGATGGGGGGGGGGGAGTAAACTCCAGTTACGTCACTACTGTATGCACAATAACTAATGTACAGCAATAGAACATTTTGGGGCCATAAACCGAACAGGAGAATACTTCGCAACTTTATTAAAAGATAAAATAATCGTAGTAATATTGAGGAAACAAACTCAAATACCACTTTGAGTACGGGCAACAAATCCTACATTTATTCATCTTCAACAGTGCAGTGCAGAAGACATAGTGATGAGTGATTATAGTGGTGCCAGGTGGATTAAGGGTTTTTCCAAAATACTGTAAATAAAATTATCGATTTATCGTAGTTTTTTGTATAGTGTCATTGATTTTCCCTGTATAGGCCTATTTGTACTCTGTAATCATATAATAGGCTACTTAGAAACAAAGGATTTTTCTCTTATGTTACTGCAGCACTGTTTTGGGCATTAGTGTCACCTTCTTTAGAGGCTCTATGATGTCACCCCTTGTTGGTGTCACTTGGGGTGGTCTCCCCCCCTTATGATGCCCCTGGGGCTTGTGAGTGTGATGACCACTGCATCCAGAGCCTTTAGCTCTTCCAGATTGCAGGGCTTGTGGGTGTAATGACCACTTCATCCAGAGCCTTTCCAGTTCTTCCTGATTGCAGAGTTTGAGTGTGTGACTACCACTGCATCCAGAGTCTTTCCAGCTCTTTCAGGTTGCAGAGCCTGAGTGTGATTACCACTGGATCCAGAGTCTCTCCAGCTCTTCCAGGTTGCAGAGTTTGTGGGTGTAATGACCTATTCTATGTAAAACCCATGCAGCTTCTCTAGATTGCACCAGCTAAAATGTACACAGGTTTATTTCAGTTTATACCACATATTTTCTATCAAAGCTTCAGGATTTGTGATAGCCAATCAAGTCTTGACTTGGTGCTTCTTAAACTATTTGATTATCGTGCTGTGAAAGACCATTTAAGACTAAGACCTCTTGACAGAGGGCATTAGAGTTTTGGCTAAAATATCCAAAAACTTTTTGAAATCCATCCAGGACTGGAGACTAAAACTTAGCTACAAAGCAAAGCAGATTGAACTCCATGCTTTTCAATTCAATGACATTCTTCTTTACAACCAGGGTCTCAAATGCAAAATAATTTTACGTACATGCAAGCCCCCTTTTTGAGCTGTGCATCCTTAGGAAAGGCATAGACAACAGGACTGTGAAGATTATGTCAAATGGTAATCATGGAGATGTACCTTAATGATTAAAAAGTTTCTTTCTGATATCTGATTATCATACATGAATTTCAGGTAGCATCCTGAGCCCCTTTCCTGATCACAAGTTCATATAAAAACCATCCTATCATAACACACAAGCAATAAGTTGTGTAAAGAGCAGCAGTAACCAAAACAGAAGCCATCCAGTGTGTCTACAGAAGAGAACCCATCTTCTCCCTTATCAAAATTCAAATAAATCATAAACTCTAATGTAAACATTTGCAAATGTGTATTTATACAACCATTACCAGATATGTAGAAATCAATAATCTTTTTTTTCTCAAGATATTTTCAGACACCCTAGGTAGTAGGTTAGTAGACAGCAACCATCCAGGGAGGTACTACTGTCCTGCCAAGTGAGTGTAAAATGAAAGCCTGCAATTGTTTTACATAATGGTAGGTGTGCTGGTGTCTTTTTTCTGTCTCATAAACATGCAAGATTTCAGGTACATCTTGCTACTTCTACTTACATTTAGGTCACATTACACATGCATGTACATGCATGTATGCATGTATGTATGTATGTATGTATGTGTTATATATATATATTTATATATATATTTTTATATATATATATATATATTTTATTTATTATTATCACACCCGGCGATTCCCACCAAGGCAGGGTGGCCCGAAAAAAAAAAAACTTTCACCATCCCTTCACTCCATCACTGTCTTGCCAGAAGGGTGCTTTACACTACAGTTTTTTAAACTGCAACATTAACACCCCTCCTTCAGAGTGCAGGCACTGTACTTCCCATCTCCAGGACTCAAGTCCGGCCTGCCGGTTTCCCTGAATCCTTCATAAATGTTACTTTGCTCACACTCCAACAGCACGTCAAGTATTAAAAACCATTTGTCTCCATTCACTCCTATCAAACACGCTCACGCATGCCTGCTGGAAGTCCAAGCCCCTCGCACACAAAACCTCCTTTACCCCCTCCCTCAACCCTTCCTAGGCGACCCCTACCCCGCCTTCCTTCCACTACAGACTGATACACTCTTGAAGTCATTCTGTTTCGTCCATTCTCTCTACATGTCCGAACCACCTCAACAACCCTTCCTCAGCCCTCTGGACAACAGTTTTGGTAATCCCGCACCTCCTCCTAACTTCCAAACTACGAATTCTCTGCATTATATTCAACACCACACATTGCCCTCAGACATGACATCTCCACTGCCTCCAGCTTTCCTCGCTGCAACATTCATCACCACGCTTCACACCCATATAAGAGCGTTGGTAAAACTATACTCTCATACATTCCCTCTTTGCTCCAAGGACAAAGTTCTTTGTCTCCACAGACTCCTAAGTGCACCACTCACTCTTTTTCCTCATCAATTCTATGATTCACCTCATCTTTCATAGACCCATCCGCTGACACGTCCACTCCCAAATATCTGAATACGTTCACCTCCTCCATACTTTTCTCCCTCCAATCTGATATTCAATCTTTCATCACCTAATCTTTTTGTTATCCTCAAAACCTTATCTTTCCTGTATTCACCTTTAATTTTTTCTTTTGCACACCCTACCAAATTCATCCACCAATCTCTGCAATTCTCTTCAGAATCTCCCAAGAGCACAGTGTCTTTCAGCAAAGAGCAGCTGTGACAACTCCCACTTTGTGTGTGATTCTTTATCTTTTAACTCCACGCCTCTTGCCAAGACCCTCGCATTTACTTCTTTTTAAAAACCCCATCTATAAATATATTAAAAAACCCACGGTGGACATCACACACCCTTTTGTCTAAGGCCTACTTTTACTGGGAAAAAATTCCCTCTTTCCTACATACTCTAATTTGAGCCTAAACTTCCTCGTAAAAAACTCTTCACTGCTTTCAGTAACCTACCTCCTACACCAACACTTGCAACATCTGCCCATTGCCCCTTTCCACCTGTCATACGCCTTTTCCAAATCCATAAATGCCACCCAAAGACCCCTTTAGCCTTATCTAAATACTGTTCATTATATGTTTCACTTTTAAACACCTGGGTCCACACACCCCCCACCTTTCCTAAAGCCTCCTTGTTCATCTGCTATCCTATTCTCGTCTTACTCTTAATTCTTTCAATTATAACTCTACCATACACTTTCCAGGTACACTCAACAGACTTATCCCCCTTAATTTTTGCACTCTCTTTTATCCCCTTTGCCTTTTATACAAAGGAACTATGCATGCTCTCTGCCAATCCCTAGGTACCTTACCCTCTTCCATACATTTATTAAATAATTGCACCAACCACTCCAAAACTATATCCCCACCTGCTTTTAACATTTCTATCTTTATCCCATCAATCCCGGCTGCCTTACCCCCTTTCATTTTACCTACTCCCCTCACGAACTTCCCCACACTCACAACTGGCTTTTCCCTTTCACTCCTACAAGATGTTATTCCTCATTTTATATATATATTTTATATATATATATATATATCCCAAACCACACGCACACAGTGGACCCCATTTAACGATATTTTTTCACTCCAAAAAGTATGTTCAGGTGCCAGTACTGACCGAATTTGTTCCCATAAGGATATTGTGAAGTAGTTTAGTCCATTTCAGCCCCCCAAACATAAAAGTACAAACGCACTTACATAAATACACTTACTAATTGGTCACATTCGGAGGTGATCGTTATGCGGGGGTTCACTGTGTGTGTGTGTATATATATTAATTTATATATATTATATACACACACACACAGTGAACCCCGCATAACGATCCCCTCCGAATGTGCCCCATTATGTAAGTGTATTTATGTAAGTGCGTTTGTACGTGTTGTTTGGGGGTCTGAAATGGACTAAACTATTCACAATATTCCTTATGGGAACAAATTCGGTCAGTATGGCACCTGAACATACTTCTGGAGTGAAAAAAATATCGTTAACTGGGGGTCCACTGTGTGCGTGTTGTGTGTGTGTTATATATATATAAAATATATATATATATATATAAAATATATATATATATATATATATTTTTATATATATATATTTTATATTTTATATATATATAATACTACATACATACATCATACATAAAATTTCATACATACATACATACATACATACATACACACACACACACACACACACACACACACACAGTGGACCCCCGGTTCGCGAAGTCATCGGTAACCGATAAATCCGGTATCCGAAGCGTTATATCGCCAA